TCGGATGAGGAGCGAAACGTCTTCTGTTACAAATAAAGTCCAGTTGTTTTTGTATTGAACGCTTTTTGAATTCATCATGTCCTGGATGACTGAGAATCTTCACCACTCATTTACAACCATCATCTGACACTTTTTTGCACAATAATTTTCCAACTTGAACAGCAATCACATCCAGGTACAGAGGTACAACCAGTACAACTTATCACACACAGCCTAACCAATACACATAAACCCACTGAGATGAGATACAGACATAACAAGAGAGACAGATCTAGATTGAAGGTACTGTCTTTGTCAATAAGCTGTGTTCATCTTACAAAACTATGTGTACATCAAACCAATGAAATAACTTTTGTTGTAAATTAACTGTAAAACATTTGAAGGGCTGGAGTCCAGAACCAGAAGAGTATAAAGACCTACCACAGCAGAGGCCAGAGGGACACAGTGGCAACATGCAAAGCCCCTACATTCAGATAGACCTGCTCAAAGCCTACAACATCACAGGTAAATAGAGATCCAAATGTAAATGAAAAAGTTGATGTGCTGAAGACTGACTGACACTGTTCACACGGGAATAGTGTATGTAAATACATAATTTCCTTTTTATTGTTTCAGTCTAGCGTTCATACATGAATTGTATTTTGGGAGCCATATATGGTATTTATCATAACTGGGTTTTAGTGACAAATTGCAAAAATGCCACCCTAGCCTTTTCATTTGGATAGCATGAAAACAACTTTTTGAAAACGATTAGGTCATAGACCCAGCCTTGGGTCCTGGTCCTTGGATAGACCTTATCTATGACCCCAAGTGCATTGACAGTAACAATAATAATGACAACTTACAATACAGCTTTATTTATAAAGCAATTTAAAAACAACACCATTGGTCAATGCACTGCACACTGATAACACATAAAAGCAAACATAAAGACAATAAAATATAATAAAACAAGTCTTTTAAGATAAAATTTAATAACAGGAAGTGAGTCAGCTGATGTGATGTGAAAAGGA